GCAGGGAGATGACCTGTACCGAGTTAACTGTACACGACATTATCACGCAAATGCTACATACACTTTCAGATGAAAACAAGACTTTGGACTGGAATAAAATAATCGTACTGATATCAAATTCCGATGCATAGACAATTGCACCATTACTGACTAGCCGGGCTGTAGAATCATCAAACGCCTACATTTTGACATTTTAACATGCGAAAGAAAAACGAATGTACATTCAATTTGACTTTGAGCTTATTGGTAGCAGATAGTTCTAATGATTGTAAAAGGGTCTGTCGCGTCATTTCCTTTCCTGAAATTACTGGTATATCTCTATTATATTTGTCTTCAACATATACCTTGGGGATTACCCTTTTTATATATATAAAGAACTAAATGTTACATTGCAGTTGTACCTCATACCTGGATTATTATAATATTAAATTCACTGCGTGTCTTGTATATGATGTAGAATGGTAGTATTTGCAGGAAAGAAAAATATTCTTCGCTCTATTCACTGTTGGACTCACGAAAATACAAAAATGAATAAACTTAATGTATTGAACATAAGTGCAGATAACGTTATGAATCACTTGCGTTCACTTTTGATAACACCGCATAACGAATTTCTGTGAAACGATGCGTTTGTCCATTAAAAGTACACTGCCTCTTGTTGGTGGGTCGATGTAAATAGAGAGACAGACAGACGCAGCAGCCCCGAAATCTCCACCTGTCCTTGGATTGTGTTCTTAAATTAGCAGTTACCGCTTGGACTAAGAGGGGAACCTTTTACCTCAATGGCCTGAAGAAGGTCTGCATTAGATACCAATCGATCTTTAGTTCTGAGTGCTCCGACAGATGTCAGAGAGGTTCCCACGTGTATGCATGACTCGTGCATGTGCCTGGTGTGTCGGGCATTGATTCGTCCACAACATCGGAACATTAATTAACAAAGAATCTTAGGAAATCTCAGCTAAATACAGGGTCGTCTGATCGATTCACACTATGCCATCAGCATGTTTTCAGAATCAGATAATTATTATACCAGGTGTTCACAACATAGTGAGCGTATCCTGCCCTACCGGTCGCAAGCTATACAAACACATGAAAACGCAACAAGATTGTTCACCAGAAAAAAAACCAACAACTAAAAAAAGACAAACAAACTAAAAACAACAAAACCCCAAACACAGGAGCAAGATTACACAGGAACAAAATATGAAAATGCATCGGGCATTATATTTTGTTGCTGATTCATCATATCTGCGTCTACCGTAATGCGTCTCCATAAAACATTTAAACCACTGTACGTACATGATTATTGTGCACAAGCATATTCTTTCTACAAGTCCAGCTTCGAATTCTCGTTTTGTCTTTATTTTTGTCTTTATCAAGCAGAGCAACTTTGATACAACTTAAACATCAACAGCTTAATTGGTATCGTATCCAAGATTTACAGCAAAGATCACCTTCTTGCCCACCTCCGGTCTTAAGCGGAAGTTTCCGGGTATTGTTGGTCCTTACGGAAATTAGCAAACCTGAATCTGTCTCCCGTAACAATATTTCATTTCCTCTATTGGAATCGGTCAAGAAGCAGGTACAGTTATCCTATCTGCAAGCCGACAGTATCATGTGCATGGTGCAGGCCAAACACTCTGATTTAACGCTATTGGTTATGTTTGATTTCCTCCTAAATCCACTGGCGTGTTTCTTCTTGTTAGTGGATACGTTCAAGGATCATGATAAAAGATCGTGGAAGCAAAGAGCACTGTATAATTGACGTTATCAATACCCCATGATCAGTTATTGGAAATGATGTCATTATTGGTTTTATGAAGAATGGAACCTCTTTAGTCCTTATCCCAAGCAAAATATTTGAAAGCATTCTCGCCGGGTAGAGTAAACTACGTTCCACTAAATATACAAATGTGATCCGTGCGAGTATGTCTTGGTTACAGATGATCATATTCAAAACATTCTACGTAATCGGCCCATGTTAGCAAAGCATTCGATCACGAACAATCGTAATCGATATCACACAAGGCTTAACGATCACAAATAGCATGTGTAGAAACTTGCTCTAAAATGATGTATTGCAAATAGAAACGCTTGTCCTCGCTATTGTGCAGAAACATGTAAAGCATTGCATTATGCTCCTATTTGCATAGAGTTCTTTCAATCCCGTCCACGACAAAGGCCCATCCTGTCATACACATCATCTATTCCTATCGTGATCAAACGGTCTTTGCCTGCAGGCTTCCGAGAGGCTTATCGCCCTAACCATATTCCTTTATACGTAGTCTTATTACTATATTAATATGGCTTTTATCCTAACTGAAATTTACGAAACATACATCTTATGTAATCTAATATCTATGATCAGTGGTGATTGATCAGCTTGACAAATCACGAGTATAAACTAGTGCCTTTACCAAAATAGGTGTTTGATGGGAATGTGGATTACTTTAACATTACCTACAGGATGCTATGAGATTGTATGAGGTTGCAATAGCTCAATTGGGGTCGGTTTTAGCGATTCGTGAGCTCAGTCAAAACGTACAAGCAAACCGTGACTGTTTATGAAGTATTTTACATGTCTTTATTCAACCTGCTACTGAAACCACAATTTACACCCATGATACAGTGTACATCCAAGGCTTAACGTTTAATCGATTTGTGTGATGGTAAAAGCTCCCCCAATGCACGATATAATCTAAATCTGGTTTTACGCTTATCACAGTCTATCTTAATTATCGGAGACACAGTTCTTAGAAGATGAATGCGCAACAACTGCAGAGGTGCGTCCCCCAGAATACCTTGTTCGTTGCTTTGAATTTCCGATTCGACCCAATTGTGATTGGCTGATTTTGGCATCACAGCCACTCTCGTTGGTTTCGTGAAGATTGGGAACATTTGACCTTTCCTGACACACAGTGCTATATGAAATGCCGGACATATCAACCTCATACTTCATATCAATTCTGTTCATCGTGACGACTATCACTATATGAAAGGCCTGTTGCAAACTTAATGTTCACACGAACTGTAAATCAGCAGACCAATCACAACTAGCCCACTGGGCAACACAATGCACAGGGTGACTCTTATTGTGGGTTACTGTCGTCAAACAGTACTAGAGATGGAATATGATCACGATAATCCAATCTAATCAAGCATAACACGTTAACCTGGTTGTCTATCGGACATGATTGATGATACCAATGATGGCGTTTACAATCACATCCATGACCTCCTGTGCGGGAAACCTAAGGGCAGAATACTCGTGTTGGCAGTCATTATTGTTCCCGTTGAAACTCAAGGGTGCTTTGGTGCAAAATGGGACAGCGATGTCGATGCTATTAGAGTGATGGTTATGGTCAAATGTAGGTCAAACCTTTGTCAGCCAGATACACTATTTTGCATTTCTGTCGGAAAGAGTGACATGGCACCTATACATGATGAAATTACATCTTGCTTGATATATAAAATGATGACAGTTACCAACTGACGTAATTAATGATTGTGTCTGACTGCTTCTCCTTAAATAACAATGCTCATGAGAATGTTAAATCTTATGTTTTTTCTCTTGTAAAATATTTTTAAGATCACTGATAATATTAAACGTCAACGCCAGAAAATAATCAGAATCGATTCTATTGGGCATGAAAGGCAAATTGTAATGGAAATGAACATGAAAGTGAAAATCGGCGTTGAGACACCAGGTGTTCCCGAAAAGGATAAGAATTCCCTTTCACCTGCCGAAGTTAGTTGCTCTTCAGTGGACACCGTTTCTGGCAATGTTTCCATAGACAAAATCTCAAATACAGCAAAATCGTGCGGGCGCGGTGGGCGAGCTGGCTAAGGCGCCAGGCTACTGATCCAGCGAGGCTGAGGTGCCGGGATGGAGCCCACATGTGACCGGGTGTAAAAACCTTGGAGTCAACTTTGTGTGCAGACTCTTTCCGTGTTGTCACAACCCCTAGTGTACAGTACATAACCCTGTGCACTTAAAAGAACCCACGAATCCGTTGGTATATGACCAGATGGTGGTCACATGAATACGTGCAAACACGGGTACTGCAACGTGCAGTGAACTTAGACAAATTACTGTGACTGTGTGTCCCAGTCCACCCAGCTGTGAATGGGTACCTCGTTAGAATGAGAAAGCCACAATAGCTCGGTGCGCCTAGTGGCAGCAAGAGTTGTATACTCCCCAGGGAGTTGAGATTGATAATACGATGTGCCGTTGAGATTGACATCAAATGATCGAGGGAAAAAATGCCAGCGCCTTGAGCATGCACTAGTTGCGTGGATATGTGCGCTATATAAATATCCTATAATAAAAAATAATAATAAAAGAATCGTTACAGAAAACAGAAAAAATATATAAATATTCTGCGAGGTAAAGGTGAGTAGCCCACGATGTGTTAGAATAAGATATTTGCCACAGTCTATTGCACACATCAAATGCACACGCAGTCTGTATGATGGCAGTCGTGAAACGTAGCTGGTTCGTCAAATATAGACCGAAGACTCGCAGTAAACGGAAATAAACTCAGCCTTGAAGTTCGGGCGTAATGGTTACAACTCGACACCACTTGGCACCAACACACACCTTTTAAACGATAAAGTTCCTTGAGAGATGAACACAATTTCCGAGACATCGTACAAGAACTCACATGCGTAACTGTTGTACGAGGAACTGACAGTTGCTAAATGAGTGTGCCAGTCTTGACGTACGTCTGAACCTTTGCAGCAAGAACACCTGACTCCGTATCTTGACGATGCTGAAGATATATTTCTGTTCATGGCACAAGTCCAATACCATGACAAGTAAAGTCATAGATGTGTCATTCCAATACTTCTTCCTTTGGATATGTCACGTGATGAGTAACTCATGTGTGCCTCTTCCTCATGTTGTCCAGTTATAGTCCTGTGCACGTACAGCTTGACCGCTATGAGGATACTTGGTGTTTCATATGACAGTATTTAAGAAAATCTTTTATTTTTAACAGAAAAGCACTAGTCATGGAAGCGAGTCTTCAAAGCAGCTCTCAAGAGCATCCTCCACAACAAGCGAGGTAGTCTATCTGTTACATACCCCAGGCACATTCTCACAGGTTCAATGTCTGACTTACTACGTGAAACTACCTGTTCGGGCTCTTTCATCTCTATTATATTTGATAATGAATTGCTTTTTAACAAAGCCCTGACAATCCCTAGTTTCAATGAAGAGGTTAAGCAGCCACTGAACTCTTGATTGCGTGCCTTGTGGGTGTTGAGATGTGCATGGTTATCTCAGCTATAGTGGTTCAGAGATATTCCGTTTTGCATGGCATGTTCATGTAAACACTGCATGCATGTACAGCATTAACTGGTGACGTCATGTGACACTGTGATGACGCGTAAAATATGTCATAAAGTAAATATCGTCACCTGTATGGTTCATTAGGGGTGAGGTGAGGTGAAATTGGGTTTAACGTCGGCTTGAAAATATTTCGCTCATATGACGACGTAAATGCGTATCAATGTGTAACCCGGCTGCTTGTACTAGCCCAGACTAAAGCTGGTTTTATAGTGCTAGCTCACTGAGATACCATGCCGCAGTGAAGCATGAATACCCCACTCAGACACATTATACTGACTCCGAGCCGACCAGTCCTTGGTGTACTAAAATGCCGAGCGCCAGGCTGGGACCAACAAGTACCATATGTTAACGTCTTGTTTATGACGCGGTCGGGGATCGAACCCGCGACCTTCCGCTCCCGGGCGGACGCTCTAGTGTATCGCTATTACACGTATTGTTATGAGAGTACAATATATACCCCGGTACAGCGCAGCACGTGCATATAGTGTGCCTATCTCCACATAGGCCTATCGCCTATCTTTTATGCTTCTTACAGACGTTATGAAACGTTCGAAAGTGGACAGATGTGCTGTTGATTATTTATAATTTACATAAAATATACATTTGAAAATTACTTTTGCGATTAGGTTTTTGCAGAGTATATATAGTTTATGAGAGTACAACATGTATTTCGTACAGCATACTACATATATAGTGTTTTAGTTAAATGTACTGTGTAGCAGGGTATTGCACGTGTAATTTATCAGGGTACTACGTATATAGTGTATCAGGTACTACATGAATGTATTTACATGTATATAATGGCAAACAATTACTACATTTTACACAGCAATTACCTGAATGGGTATATCAGGCCAACAGTGCCAGAGTACATGTATATGGATGCAAAGTCCATAAATGGAATCATGTATAGATTATGTCGATTGTCCGTGTAGTGTTGTGTTGTGCTTCATATTCTGGCATGCAGGTGTGAATGCATGTGTGTGTGAAACAAGACAGCTGGGTTAAGGGTAGCCATTAAAGTGAGACTATTAATATTTTGTGTGGAATATAGAATCGATAGTTGAGACGTGCTACATTCTCAACACCCTCCCATGCTTCCTTATGCAAATCGTGCATCAATACCTGTTAAACAAACTGACTCTATGTACCTGGAAACATCTCCTGCATCTTCTGTATTGTACCAGATGTGATTGTCTGTGTTAAGACCTAGTGTTGCAGTGTGATGTCCTTTGTGTTGTGCGTGATTTTGTATACACGAGCATCACTTTACGTATCTCACAAGATGGTCAAACAAACAAGGTGCCCTGACAAATGAGGTTTTACTGTTGTAATTCTTGGTACAGATGTAAACAAATGGAGTCGATTAATATCGATTTTCTTTGCATTGTTATTTTCGAAACAAAGTCTCCGTTTGTAAAATATAAAAGATATTAGTGTATGTGAAATCAAACAGACTTTGGTAATATGTCTTTCTGTGCTGCAGTTGACTACAACGACTTTCTTTGTGTACCTTGGAGGTCACTGACTATGTTTTAGGGTTATTTGTATTGCATCTGGGTGCCGTTGTACAAAACAACCTTAGCGCTAAGACTACCTTAAGTCTATGTTAAGGTATGGGAGTTACGGTCACCTTAGCGCTAAGATCGCTTTGTACAACGGCACCCTGGACCTCGACTTGCGACGCGTGTTACATGTGGGAGAGGACTAGTAGATGCTAGTACTTACATATACATTTTAATGTGACTTAAGCGAGTCGTGAGTTAAGATATGTAGGAGACACACAATGCACTCAGCGTTAATTATGTGAGCTATTGGCTACGTGATCTGTGTGAGTGAGTTAGATTTAAGCCAGATTGTAACAATACTGCAGTTATAACAGCATCTCTGTTGTCTTAATGTTGAGTTATATGTAACACTTTAAAGGTATCGGGTATCAAGACAACTCACTATAGGAACACCTGATGATGTAAATCAACACAAACTAGAGGTATTACGGTATTACAAGACGTTCAGTGAGAATACGGCGTCATTAACAGACACGTCATGACTCATTACGTCAACAATGAATTCCCTATGGCGTAAAAAACGAAAACGAAAAATCATGTGTGTAATTTCTGTGTTATACAGAAACATATTTGTTTTCTATTAAGGCCACATGTAGTGAAGTATTGTTGCGATCTTTGATAATGCGAGAAGGTGACAGAGTGCCTCCTGACAACTGAAGTACAATATATCATGAGCATTAACTGTATATCCATACTCCCGTCACATGTGACACGAAATATAACGACCTTTTGTTGAGAAAGTATTCTATTATGGATCGCTGACGGTAATCTTCCCCAGCTGTTACAATAACATTGTGTCTTCACATCGACCCCTACTCCACTTACACATGTTTACTTATGTGTGTGTACTTCCAATAATGTCAATGTAAACTCATTGTGGAATGTGGTGTTGATTTTCAGTAGTCGTATGTCGTATTGGCCTGTTGGTCCATTGTGTTGTGCTGCATGTGTAATAATAATAATAATAATAATAAATAATAATAATATCATATTTGTAACGCGCATATATCCATGCTTATGCATGCTCAAAGCGTAATGACCAAACAACATTTTACATTCATTGTTCTGTTGTATTTAATACGTTGCATGATATTTGGGATTCACGGGAGCACAATAACTACGAATATGTTGAATATGTTGTTTTAAACATATATTTGATCTATGAATGTTTAACTACGATTACTGCTATTACAATTACCACCACCACTTCTACTACTTCTATCACTACTACATTTACTACTACTGATATAATATACTAATGTTATAATAATAATATTAATAACAACAATAATTATTCATCACTCTCTGGATAATACAGAAGACTGCAGTTTAGGAGAGTCATTTCTCCGAAATGTTCCTGGTGGTTTCGACGAGGCATTCCTGGGAGAAGTCCCGTTGCTTTTTAAGTTGTGTGTAAAGATGGCACCTAGGGCTCTGAGCTGATGATAAGCTTAAATGAAACTTGCCTAACTGTGCTAGGATCACCCGAACCCTCTTTTCTGCATTCATCTGTTTACTTCTGTAAAACATAATTTATTATTTTCAGACACCTAAATATGAGGAAGAGATTGTCCTTGCAGATGACCAAAGGGCTGGTAAGTTACGAAAAGTGCATGCACAAATGATAAAATGGTTGAATCACGGCACAATGGTATACTCTGTTCAGTGACTTCTTATAATGTATTGTATGTACAGTAAGTGTGAGGTGCCTGGAATGATGGTTGTCATTCGGGTTTGATTCAAGGCACGTAAAACATGTAGTAGCCTGATCGTGGCATCAATCTACACAGTACTGCAATGTTCATACATACACTGGTTTGCAGCTCTACGTACTGGAAATGCTTCAAACATGATAAAGATTAATTACCGTTTCTGGAAACGACACTAATGATCACAATCAAACATGCTTACATGCGTCTCTCTGTTGTCAATATATATGTGGTTATCATTTCAGAACTCAGAGAAGCTTTCGGGCTGTTCGAGAAGGCAGGGAAAGGTAGAATTAACGTCCGTGATCTCGGGGCCCTGTTGAGGTCACTAGGAATGAATCCATCAGAACGAGACCTGGAGGAGGCCAGGCATGAACTGGAAATCAGCGGGACCTTCTCCAGAGGTAAAGGAATGACATTAAACCACGGTGTACTAAAGAGTAACATAACACAAGAATAGGCAAATATCTGCAAAGCAGCTATCCACACACATATGTGTGTTTTGGGATTTGTTACTGGGATTAAAACAAACAGAGATAATGTGGCATAATCTACAATATAGACAAACTTTATGGATAACAACTTCGTTATTTGGTGAGTGCGACGTTTCGATACAGATTCTTGTACCGTTGTCAAGCATTTTCGAAACGTGACACTCACCAAATAAAGAATTATTATCTATACCACATTACCTCTATATTGTACCTGCCAAGATCTAAAATGTCTCACAAAGAAGATAGATAATCTATTCGTGAAGTGCTCCAGTTAGACATACATTATCTAATCCTATGCAAAATGCTTGAAATTTACATTATACATATCAAGGTGTATTTTGTGGATTGTGTCAGTTATTCTCGTGGTTCAACATCGGTGGTTAGGATAACGTTAAGTAACAACAGTAGGGTAATCGAGTACGGACTTTGCATTCCCTTGTCATTCACTTGCAATTAATCATCCTGCATGCAAACTGAACATAATTATATATGACTGTCGAAAACACCTCAAGTGTCTGTTTCAGTTTTAGATTTCAATGACATCATACTCAGCAGTATCAGCTCCAATTAAAACTGAAAAGATGAAAAGAGTGCACTTTTAACTGCGTGCATATATCTTCAATTACCATGCCTTACATACATTTGTTAAATCGAGGTCAGTAAACCTTGTGGTTTTATCTGTATCTTATGTAAATGGAGGTTAGGAGTAATACAAACGATGTTTTTTAACATATTTTACAGAGGTAACTGTCAGATTGCAAGGGTCTTGGTGCAAATATTAGGTCCTAGTAGCCAGATTGAGGCTAGAGTGCACAGACACTAATAATCTTATACGTAACCCTCCCACTCTTTAAATAACCTCACACACATCAAATAACCTCACACACACATTAAATAACCTCATTTGTTCGTTTAGAGGTCAACGTTTGGTATCATTTGTTAAATTCAACTAGAAATTACAATGTTCCGCCGATGTCCTTAATTCGTACCTGTGCACGCAAGGGTTAAATATGTTCAAAAGGTTCAAGAAAATGTCGTAAGGATTTGACATTAAAACAAACAAGTATGTGAATGTCAATCAGCGGTCTATCATTTGAGCTAAGTAGTAATCATCATAAAGCGTGTATTTGTGCAGCGAACGACATTTTGTTGCTTGATCAAAACCACAAGAAAGTACAGTCATCGTGTTCGGATTTTTTTTATCTTCTTCAGATTTATGTTTGCAATTTTCTTGATGAGCTCGAATGTATTTCATGTTCTATTTTGATGAACTTCGCGTGTGGAAGCTATACGTTCTTTGTAACGGTGGTACCAACATTTGTCTTCTTCATTCAGTTGCCGATCGTCAATCACTCTTCAGTTTCCTTGGATTTCCTTCTTGATTACCTTAGCCTCCGATTTGTCTCCACTTTGTTCCGGAAATGTCCCCTTTGTTCTTGTCTTTCTGCCCCATTAGTCTCAAGATTACAAAACGGAACTGCTTCATGGCATCTACCGTAGTTTCACGGTAAATCTTCCTCTGACACTATAATTTAAAGTCTGGTTAGTCTTCATCCTAGTAACCCCTTTGTTGTCCCCAAAAACTCTCTCCTCGCCTGAACATTCGCTTATAATCCCAATTATTCTTCTTTGCATGTTCTTTAGTCCGCCGCTTTCACTATGTCCCTGGTGGGATCCATGCCTGATTTCCCTGTTTCAACATCATCGTATACACACTGTGTCTTCCTCATGAGTTTTGTAATGACCTTTCTGTGTCTTCCTTGTCTGACCTATACTTTCTGTCTCTTCCTTCTCAGTTTCCTCCTGGAGTACCTCTTGGTATACACACTGTGTCTTTCTCCTTAGTTTCTTTCTAGTCTTCCCAAAGGTATTCACCTGGTATACATACTGTGTCTTTCTCCTTATTTCCTCTCTAGTCTTCCCAAAGATATTCACCTGGTATACACACTGTGTCTTTCTCCTTATTTCCTCTCTAGTCTTCCCAAAGGTATTCACCTGGTATACATACTGTATCTTCTCCTTATTTCCTCTCTAGTCTTCCCAAAGGTATTCACCTGGTATACATACTGTGTCTTTCTCCTTATTTCCTCTCTAGTCTTCCCAAAGGTATTCACCTGGTATACATACTGTGTCTTTCTCCTTATTTCCTCTCTAGTCTTCCCAAAGGTATTCACCTGGTATACATACTGTGTCTTTCTCCTTATTTCCTCTCTAGTCTTCCCAGAGGTATTCACCTGGTATACATACTGTGTCTTTCTCCTTATTTCCTCTCTAGTCTTCCCAGAGGTATTCACCTGGTATACATACTGTGTCTTTCTCCTTATTTCCTCTCTAGTCTTCCCAAAGGTATTCACCTGGTATACATACTGTGTCTTTCTCCTTATTTCTTCTCTAGTCTCTCCAAAGGTATTCACCTAGTATACACACTGTGTCTTCCTCCTTATTTCCTCTCTAGTCTTCCCAAAGGTATTCACCTCGTATACACACTGTGTCTTCCTCCTTCGTTTCTTTCTCGTCTTCTCAAAGGCATACACACCTCCTAGTATGAACTGTGTGTCTTCCTCCTTAGATGGCTGAAATATTGCCGATGTGACGTTAAATAATAACTCACTCACTCACTCTTCCTCCTTAGTTTCGTTCTAGTCTTCCCTAAGGTGTACACACCTCCTGGTATGTGTACTCTTGTATACCACCTCCCCCCTAGTTTCCTCCTAGTTCTGATTTAAAGCATATTTATATTTATATATATTTGTATAGCGCCAATATCCAGCTCAGCTGGCGCTTTGACTTTCCCTCGATCATTGGATGTCAAACTCAAAAGGCACATCGTATTATTTAATCTCAGCTCCCTCGGGAGTATGCAACTAGTGCAACCACTAGGCGCACCGAGTTAATGTGGCTTTGCCATAAAGCATGTCAATAGATGTTCAGGATGTTGCAGACGTCGCATAGCTTGCTCGTGAACAAACAATGAATGAAGTAAATTATAACCACATCTTCATTATGAGTCAGAATCAATCAAATCTGCCGAAATATGTGTCTGTAGAGATTAATCGATCGCCTTGAAATTATCAAAATCAGGACTGTCAACCTTCGTAGGTGTGTAAAGCTCCTGCAATGCAAACTAGGAAGTGTTTCGATGTTAAGTTTTACAGGTAAAAACGTTCTTACACATGGTGTTTGCTGTCAACGTCTATCTTGCCTTGATACTTGGCATTGACATCCATACATCACGATCCATTTCGTTTTTGTACAAATATCCATATGTCAATTTTGACATTAGACATTCGTCATATTGAAAAGTAACGAGACATCTGTATAACAATACTATAACGACAGAACCTTTATTGTTCCATCAGGAAACGATAAAGCCACGTTTAGGAGTTTTTAACGTTAGGAACAACGATTCTGTTTTGCAGATATTTTATGGTGTATTGTGCGAGGCGTCGTATTTGTCAAATAATTTGCGTAGAGCATATACGGATTACAAACATATAATATCTGTATCACCCTTAAATTATGAACAAATACATTAACATACAAATGGTAACTCTCACTTCCCCATTTATGCATGTATGTATGCTTATGTAGGTTCTAGGATTCATGACCCTTCTCCCAGAGCTTTGTTAATAGATTCCTTTAAAAACGAAATCCAATTAATTCACCTTTGTTGACGTGACATCGGTAATACAGACTTTATTTCATGATTACAGAAATAGAAGGATTAAGTATACTGGAAGGTAGATTAGAGCTGAGATAGTCGCTGCTTTAAGGTATATGAAACAATCCACTGACAGCGGTTAAACCCTATCTTAAGGGAATCACGGGTCTATATATAGCACGTCAAGTGTTAGCTTTCAGTGAAAATGAACTCAGAGAGATTTATCGGGGAAACCGAAGGGCAGCAAGAAAAGCGCAGCTGTTTGTGGAAGGAAAATATAAAGCCTTCAACTGGCTTTGATGTTGCTGGACTTCCTGATATTTCTGGGACGTGTGTGTCTTCAGCCTGGCTCCAAAGCTCAATCAATTTTCCCGGGTTTTGTTAGGCTCATGACAAACTGCCATCATGGTTACTCTGAAGAGAGGACAAACTGCCTTTTATGTCGGTTCAAACAAACTAATTTGTTTTGATGGGAATGATATGCTTTAAAGTATCGTATTGACAATATGTTTTTTCTAAATCACGGCTAAATAATGGGGAAAACTCGAACTGGATTCCACTTTATGTGATGGAATTTTAAGAAGCCTTTCTTCTTGATTCAAGTTTGAACCATTTGATTACCAATCTGAGAATAGTAAACCTGTCGGTGATACTCAGATGCATTTTTGCGACCCTTGGTGATTTTTGCTGTCTTTTGTGTCATTTCGACTGTTAGTTGTGACAGATATATGATGCTTGAAGTTGTTTTCAATTTGAAGTGACCACTCACTTTTGAACGTGTGTCTGTTGATTGAATGTTGATATTTGTTTCTTGCTCAACAATGATTTAATGTTTTGCATCTGATCTTGTGAACTGTAATCAGTTGTAGACCTCTGTTTTCAGTTAAGTGGATTCGGCTCTTTGCCACTATATAGATATATTGTATAGTATCAGGGAAGAGGGGGTGGGGTTCACATATTGTACCTACAGAAGGAACCGAAATCTGTCGTTAATCTGAAAGTCAAAGCTTTACACAGTAGACTAATGCACCAACCCTTAAACAGGTTGTAACGGAAAGTTTACGTCGCAAAGTTACCATGGCAAACATCGGGATGAGTTGCGTTCCACATGTATATACTGCTCTCACGTGACACTCATTCAGATTTGAAATCCAATTCATGCCGTACGTTTAAATTTACAAATTTCTATTTTCAGCACGAGGGACAGTGTCGTTTGCAGACGTGGAGCGCTATATTGCGAGGCGAGGCGGAGTGTTTTTAGGCTGTGATGAGGAAGAAGATATTCACGCAGCCTTTCAAGTACTAGATCGAAATGGAAATGGGCGGATTGATATTGACGAGTTCCGGCATTTTATGACCACGATGGGTGAGCGCATGACTCCCGAGGAAGTAGAGGAACTACTTTCGGTGGCGAAAAAGGATGGCGAGGCTTTCATTGAATACAAAGGTAGGATGTGTTTGCGATCCAGTGATCCGTTGTTGTTCTGTTGTTAACGACATACTCTACAATTTCCATGTATATTACGACGGTCTGTAAATAATGGAGTCTGGACCAGAGACACCGCTGATGATGACAATTAACGCGCAATGATCCGAACTGACGAACCTGAACACCAGCGTCATTACGTCGCAACTTGCGACCAGCATATGTGGCTTGGGAATTACCTAGTAGTGTCACGAGAGGATGCCGATACCAGTGTATAGATATGGTATCGGGAGAAGTGCCCTTTTATCTTGGAAATCGTTCAGTTTGCGTTTTCTTTCGGAACAAATTTAATACATTTCCAACAAGGTCGGGGTCTTGGTTGTGGCTGCAAATTCATTTCTAGTCGTGTTTGAACCAGTGTATTTCTGCACAAATATGCCATCACAGGTAACTTTGCAAGAAATTGTGGCAGGAATAAGATGAAATAACAACAGTTCTTTTAGTTTTCAATTTCATGAATAACCCGGTATAATGTCTTTTGCCCCTCAGCTTATTAAAATATTGAGTGAGGTATGTCTAAATGTATTAATGAAGATCAATGACCTCTAACAACTGCAGTTATGCCCTATCAGCGATTACTGTATCAGATGTGTAACAGTTTGTTACATATTATCACATCAGACACAAATATAATACATCTTGTTTATATGGTGGCATAGGCGGATCCAGACATTTTCAAAGGGGGTGGGGTGTGTGTGTGTGTGGGGTGTTAGGGGTTCTGGCTCTGCCATTGCAAAACATTAACTTCAATATGGTCTTTAGTTATTTTCAAAAGGGGGGTTCCAACCCTCTGAACTCCCCCTTTGGATCCGCCACTGGCTGGGGCGGTGGGGTAACCGAGTGGTTAAAGCGTTCGCTCGTCACGCTGAATGCCCTGGTTCGATTCCCCACATGGGTACAATGTGTGAAGCCCATTTCTGTGTCCCCCGCCGTGATATTGCTCGAATATTGCTGAAAGCCACGTAAAACCCAACTCACTCACATATTCTATGGTAGATAATTCTATGAAAATAATGCTACAATCATGCAATATTACGATATTCCTTGTCAGTACAGCCGATATCAAGGTAAAAAAAATACGTAAACTTTGAAATATCAGTATTTCCCTAGCGAAAGGTCACGTGACGGCCCTAGTGTTTGATACCAGACTGCGAGAATGGATTTAAGAGCGACAGTAAGCCAGGCGTTTATAACCGTAATGTCAAAGGTTCGTTCCGTCTTTGCTCAATATAACTCAACTGATTATGAATTTAGCACGAAGTAATAATTCAGACTTTGCAATGCCAAGGGTCGCCTGGGTCTATCGGTTTTATGATTAATCTAAACCAAGCGTAAGAAATAAATTCGATAATCGAAATATCATTAAACAATAACATTAGCGCGGATATAGTTTAAGTCACAGAGGACTCGAGTGAAAGCAGACGTCCATTTTCGCTGAGAACTGACGCTAATTCATAGCGCCATTTAGTTTCGACCATTTCCGACATGGTACAATCTGCCAATACAGCGGGAGTAGAATGTTGCGTTGTTCATTCAAATTAAACTGCCTTTAAACGTAATTCCTGGGAACATTCCGCCTCAAAATGCCCAGCGTTGTTCGAATCGTCGGTAGCTGTCTAAAGACGCTTTATAAATGGCTGCCCCACCTTATAAATGGCTGCCCCGCCTTATAAATGGCTGCCCCACGTTATAAATGGCTGCCCCACGTTATAAATGGCTGCCCCACGTTATAAATGGCTGCCCTACCTTATAAATGGCTGCCCCACGTTATAAATGGCTGCCCCACCTTATTAATGGCTGCCCCACCTTATAAATGGCTGCCCCACTTTATAAATGGCTGCCCCACGTTAAAAATGGCTGCCCCACGTTAAAATGGCCCACCTTATAAATGGTTTGCCCCGTTCTTATATAAATGGCTGCCCCACCTTATAAATGGCTTCCCCACATTATAAATGGCACTTTATACCTTATAAGTGGCCCCCACCTTATAAATGGCTGCCCCACCTTATAAATGGCTGCCCCACCTTATAAATGGTTGCCCCACGTTATAAATGGCTGCCCCGCCTTATAAAATGGCTGCCCACCTTATAAATGGTTGCCCCACGTATAATGGCTGCCAACCTTATAAATGGCTGCCATGCCTTATAAATGGCTGACCCACCTTATAAATGGCTGCCCCACCTTATAAATGGTTGCCCCACTTTATAAATGGCTGCCCCACGTTAAAAATGGCTGCCCCACGTTATAAATGGCTGCCCCACCTTATAAATGGCTGCCCCACCTTATAAATGGTTGCCCCACGTTCTAAATGGCTGCCCCGCCTTATAAATGGCTGCCCCACGTTATAAATGGTTGCCCGACCTTATAAATGGCTGCCCCACCTTATAAATGGCTTCCCCACATTATAAATGGCTGCCCGACCTTATAAATGGCTGCCCCACCTTATAAATGGCTGCCCGACCTTATAAATGGCTGCCCCACCTTATAAATGGTTGCCCCACGTTATAAATGGCTGCCCCGCCTTATAAATGGCTGCCCCACGTTATAAATGGTTGCCCGACCTTATAAATGGCTGCCCCACCTTATAAATGGTTGCCCCACGTTATAAATGGCTGCCCAACCTTATAAATGGCTGCCATGCCTTATAAATGGCTGACCCACCTTATAAATGGCTGCCCCACCTTATAAATGGTTGCCCCACTTTATAAATGGCTGCCCCACGTTAAAAATGGCTGCCCCACGTTATAAATGGCTGCCCCACCTTATAAATGGTTGCCCCACGTTCTAAATGGCTGCCCCGCCTTATAAATGGCTGCCCCACGTTATAAATGGCTGCCCGACCATATAAATGGCTGCCCCACGTTATAAATGGCTGCCCCACGTTATAAATGGCTGCCCGACCTTATAAATGGCTGCCCCATCTTATAAATGGCTGCCCTACCTTATAAATGGCTGCCCCACCATCCTCGAAGCATTCAGGATAGTGATCATGAAGTGATCATCCATTGCCACAGAAAGTTTGTGTTATAGGCTCCGGGATTTCATTCCATCTATGCAACATATTGTTGCCGGATCCTTTAACCATTTATAGTCTGTTTGCAGTGAAAACGTACCGGTGAATTGCACTTTAAACAAAAATGTAAATCGAATAAAGTGAAATTAAGATTGCGAATCCTCATAATTCTACCTTGCCAATTGAACAACTAAACTCAAATGGATCTGCCAAAGCTATTAGTCAAAAACCAAACCGTCGGGCAAAAGAAAGTGAATATTTGATGGTGGCTAAAAATATAACGAACCAAAATTTCCTTTTTCGATGGTGCATTCTTTGATGTGGGTATCCTAGTCTCTTGGGACCTTTAAATTGCAGTGTTTCGTTAAACTATTTTGTGACTAGTAATGTTTGTAAATTTTCAAGTGTAAACTTTTTTTCGCCCGATATTTCTGTTTCTACATAGTTTGGGATGTCTTTGTGAAATTCGTGATTTAGAAACAACTAAATCAATCCTATGTAAATTGGTGGCTGACGACGGGCTGTCATATACATGTATATTATTAAATATTTTGTATTATTTTTAATTCGTCGAGCTAAATGCGACCATTCCATTCCAATATACATCTGAAAGATCTTCATAATGCAGCGTCCATTCCAAAAATTCATAACCATATGTTTATGATCAAATACATCAATTCTACCTGCACCGATACCAAGCATTGGCGAAAAACAAGTTTTGTGATTCGGTGAAATACCGGGTATTATTCATTTAAAATGAAAACGAACGAGTTGCGACCTTTATTTGTTTATCTCATATCGTATATACCAGCATGAAGCCAGTCCGGTGTATCTTGTGTCGTCTTTGGTTCACGGTAAGTCTGCTAAGTCATTGTAATGCCAGGTCAATCTTATCATTATCAGGTTTGAGTTATCCTTAGGTTCCTATGGCTGCAGTCAGGTTTACGTTCATTATGGTGTATCTTTCACATTTGCAGATATTGTGAGAGCCCTACAGAGTGCTAACACGTGATATCACCCCCTACAAACCTACTAATCACAGGTCGCACTTTTCACTCACCGAGTTAACTCCTTTGGCCCGGACCGGAAACTGCCTTTGAAACGGAAGTAGTTTTGGTGTAGATGGCGCTCCCAGCCTCGAAGTGGCGCAGGGACAGCGAGAAACAGGCGGGTCCTGACTGAGGATAACTTGGCGTGACATTTTCATCATTCCAGGGCACAATGTGGTACACCTACGTTTATGTCAAGACGTTTGTATGAAGATTTCAAGCATTTTTCTTCCAAAGGAGGACTTGGCTTTGGTGTGATCACGATTTTTGCAATACATTATATTTCATATTTATCTATTTTTTTCACTTTTAACCAACTTGTTAATGATACTGGGTATATTATTTCTCCCCACCTGTATTTCGTTTCACCATTTGTGGTACAGCGTCCTGTGGGACATTCCAAACATATCATGCACGATGTATAGAAGTGACCTTGTGTTTTATTGTTGTTCGAGCTGGCTCGAACCTTGTCAATGGACAGATGTCCTCGATTTTTTACACTTTTTGACAGATGTATTCCATATGTATACAGAAAACACGCCACTACCTGTACACATAACGTTAAAATCTCCCACGTATATCGAGTATATGCAAGTATATATGTTACAGTCAAACTGAAATTTATTAGGTGAAATGAAACGTCATTGTAATGCCAGGTCAATCTTATCATTATCAGGTTTGAGTTATCCTTAGGTTCCTATGGCTGCAGTCAGGTTTACGTTCATTATGGTGTATCTTTCACATTTGCAGATATTGTGAGAGCCCTACAGAGTGCTAACACGTGATATCACCCCCTACAAACCTACTAATCACAGGTCGCACTTTTCACTCACCGAGTTAACTCCTTTGGCCCGGACCGGAAACTGCCTTTGAAACGGAAGTAGTTTTGGTGTAGATGGCGCTCCCAGCCTCGAAGTGGCGCAGGGACAGCGAGAAACAGGCGGGTCCTGACTGAGGATAACTTGGCGTGACATTTTCATCATTCCAGGGCACAATGTGGTACACCTACGTTTATGTCAAGACGTTTGTATGAAGATTTCAAGCATTTTTCTTCCAAAGGAGGACTTGGCTTTGGTGTGATCACGATTTTTGCAATACATTATATTTCATATTTATCTATTTTTTCACTTTTAACCAACTTGTTAATGATACTGGGTATATTATTTCTCCCCACCTGTATTTCGTTTCACCATTTGGTACAGCGTCCTGTGGGACATTCCAAACATATCATGCACGATGTATAGAAGTGACCTTGTGTTTTATTGTTGTTCGAGCTGGCTCGAACCTTGTCAATGGACAGATGTCCTCGATTTTTTACACTTTTTGACAGATGTATTCCATATGTATACAGAAAACACGCCACTACCTGTACACATAACGTTAAAATCTCCCACGTATATCGAGTATATGCAAGTATATATGTTACAGTCAAACTGAAATTTATTAGGTGAAATGAAACAGATTATACGCTTATGTAAGGCTCTAATACACTATGATATAAGCTTGATACACATATTGCTCGATGCTGGGTTATAATTTGAGACGAAGTATATGTTTTCAATGAAGAGTTTCTGAAAATTACTAATTAAACATATTTAATGAAAACACATCTTTCCAAAGTAACATAAATAGGAATTTGATGTAAGAAATGGATCAAGAGATACCTCTAGGAATGAATTATACATTTATCTGTAAGTCACTTAGATTCGACATGAAATACTCTACTATTTTATCACCAACCTAGATATAGATCCACGTTAATATGTTTACCTTGATGTTCACTCCCTGCACCCTCAGTCTGGTAAGGACAAGCCCTTGACCGTACAGACAGCCACTTTTATGTATTGAAGTGACCACTGACCACTCACTAAAAGTGCTATATTATAAGGGACACCAGAGTACACATTCTGGCACACTGCCGTACACTATTTCATAACTTTACTATTAATCATATGGCCAGATCTGCTGAAATGTGATAGGATTCGTTTGTCATTAATCTACAAATTGATATTTGTTTTTATGTAAACAATTGCAGGAGTCAGTGAATACGTCTTCCACTCTACAGAAGTCAATAATACTACAACATAATGGCTATACTCGGGTCCTTCGCTCGCAATACGTGCCTGTCTATACCACACAGATTGCATAGGGACAGTGAGTTATGGAAGCTTGTCAAAGCCCGAAGCTTCAAAATGTTAAGTTATCGGTTTGGTGTATGGCATGTAACAGGACAACTTCTTCAAACGCTCAGTTTTGTAAAATGATGAGACATGTAATGAGAACGGCATCGTTTATGTTTATGACTATTTTGTGGTTTTGATAATCTTAGAATGGAAGCTTGTGAAAGCCAAAAGCTTACAAATTTTAAGTATACGGTTTGGTGTATGGCATGTACCAGGACAACTTCTTCAAATGCTCAGTTTTGTAAAATGATGAGACATGTAATGAGAACGGCATCGTTTATGTTTATGACTATTTTGTCGTTTTGGTGATCTTAGAACCTAAAATTGACATGAGACTAGTGTGTTGGCAATGGGAATGACATTAGTTAGAACTCTTCATTTAACATGACAGATGTAACATAAAATATCACTTTCTCAAATATATTTCTGAAATATATTTAAGCCTCTGGCAGCACACAAGTTCTCATGTCAAATTCAACCTCAGCACGAGTGTATATTAAGGTATAAGTAAATTAAGAAATCTATAGCTGTATTAATATCATGTTAGGTTTTCAGGAAACATAAATGTGATATTTATGAAGGATTATTGTGACCTCACTGAAAGGGTTGAACTCTATATGAAGACCTCACATGGGGCAGTTCCACCTACAGTGATGCTATGTGGAACCTGAGTTCACAGTCTTCAGATGTCTGGATTCACGGAAGACGGATCTGTTTAAATGAAACATTCCCAATACTACATGACCGAAAGGCTGCAGAATCCATTATATCTATGTACACATACTCTCTCAAAGCGGTTCCCAATGTTTAACGTTTAGAAATGATATAACGTCACCGAATCATAAGGATCAAACAGTTGTGTGGCTTTATAAGAAATGTTTTGACACCATTTGTCGAGAGAGCTTGGAATTTGATAAAAGATATACTTTGTTTCAGCTGGGGCAGACACAACTCGCTGGCGGGTCTGCTCATGTCTATTTAAAGATATCAAATATTGTTCAAAATACTGTTATGTGTAGCCTAATATCTTTGAAAAACATCTGATGTGACATTTGGATAAGTATCTGTTCCTCCACGTCTTTACGAAGGGTATGTTTAAACATTCCACCAGAAGCACAGATTTGTCCCCTCACATCGTACTTGGAATGTTTGCCTTCTCTCGTTAAAGTAATGATATGTTCCTAACAGAACTGAAGAATGCAACACAATGGTCTGGTAAGCCTTATGTAGGTATTCGTAACGAGTGGAGGTAAATGGGTTTCACACCATTCTTTACAATCTGAAAACACCTTTTATCACCCATGCAATCACAGATATGCATCTGTTTGCGCAAACACTGAGTGTGAGGAAATGTTGTGATGCCGAGAGTTCCTTGTCATGGTCAACTTGCAGCACCTTCGTATCTCATGGTAACGGCTGCTAATGGTTCAAAGGATGATTTGTGTTTCACAGCTGGACGAAGTCAGTCGTAACCGAAGCTGTGATAAAAGAGGTGGTCAGTCTTGATCCGAGCGTGCATTACAACGGTTATTGATATTTACACTTGCATCACTTGTTTATTTATATTATTATTCATTTTTTCAATGTAAATAAATTATTTTCTTTGACTTTGTTCACGGTGTTACTCTATCAGTGTAATGTAGGTACGTTGGTTGTCAAAACATGCATAGTATGGTGATCCGTACACAATGTTTATATGGTGACTGACAGTCTGCATACCTACATTGTTTATATGGATGAATACAAAGTGTACACACAGTGACACACTCACACATTGTTCACACAATGATAGAACATGCTGTACATAATCAGGTTGTGGTTGGTTTGTTGTTTTACGCCGCACTCAACAATATTACAGCTGCGTGGCGGCGGTCTGTAAATAAACAAGTCTGGACCATACAATCCACTGATGAGCATCGATCTGCGCAACATGGATACGATGACATGTGTATACCAAGTCAGCGAGATCACCCGAGAGAGACCACCCGATCCCGTTAGTCGTGTCTTACGACAAGCATGGGTTACTGAAGACCAGTTCTAACCCGAATCTTCACGGGTATACATGATAAGGGATAAACGATATGCATACTCTTGTTCACGGTGACATATATACGATTTACATACAGTCTTGAACACTGCACACAGTCTTATATCTCCATAGTGATATGTATAATATACGTGGTGACAGACAAACCATGTACACGGTAATAAGCCAAAAGTGTACATATAGTGTGTGAATGAGTATACTTTCACGCCACATTTAGCAGTTTTTCATCAAGAAGTGATTAAAATACCATGTACAAACGTGGTGGATACATAATATACACACGTGCAAAATACTGAATCTATACATGAGAAAATGAAAATGTAGAAGAATATGTACACACACGATTTGTACACACATGATACACAATGTAAATACGTATCTTATGCACGATGTGTAAACAGACAAACACTGTCTGCAAACTAATAAGGATGAGTTGACACAAAGTATACATTTAGCCCAGGTCATACATTTGTGCGTCATTCTACATCTTAAGTGTACTCTATCCAATGTATACCTTTGAAGGTTTTAGATAAAAGACGGATGTGTATCGCGTTCAATAAATAGACAGGTTTGACTGAAATATATAGTTATTAGTGTTTGTGTTTTTTTATCTAAATGTTCCATCATTTACATTAGCTACTACAAGTACGATTTAATGATTGGAACGTCTTTTAGCAATACTGTTCAAATTCATGCTTTGAATGGCAATGAAAATAGTTTGAAATGCATTAGCCAATAAGACGAAGCCCACATTCTGAATAACTAGCAAGACACAATGTCGATAGAAAACATTAAATTTTAAAAGCAATAAAAAGTATAATATCTGCCACATGTACATATCTGGCCGGGATAACTTCATAACCAATGCAAAGGCGCAGTTACCCAAAACAACTCAACAATTTGCTTTACGCAAATAACATAAATATTTGCTAATTCAAATCACAAAGATTTCAAACATAACAAAACAACCGAAAACAATTTCTACAGGAAACAAATCAGTCAATTAATGAACACACATAAATACGTTGAGAATAAAGAGGCGTATTCTGTTTCAATCATTTCAGTACAAACACCAGATTGCGCACAATCG